CAAACCCCAAACCCCAAACCCCAAACTCCAAACCCCAAACCCTAAACCCTAAACCCTAAACCCCATTTTTTTGCTCATTTTATTTCTCTCTCTACTTTCTCTCTCTAAAAAGTTCTCTCTCAAGCTGTTTTGTGTTTTCTGATTTTCCTTCCCTTTTTTCGTTTCCATGACTGGTAAAAATCTTCAAGTTGTTGAATCAATGCATAGGAAAACTAGAAAATCCCGTATGCCGATTCATCGTGAAAAGTTCTCTAATCCTCTTCCTAGCTCTCATCAAGGATTTGTTGAAAATTTTGAAGAAAATTGCAAATTAAGAAGATTTGAAAAGGTGTGTATCCATCGTTCTACTCCTAGATCTGTTATCTCTAATCTGAATATGGTTGAATATGATAATCCTATCATTATCCCATCCCCCCCCCCAAGGCTCTTGATGCCTTGGACTTTAATATTGGATGGAAAAATGATGATCGTGTTGGAGAAGATGAAGAAGAAGATGAGAGTGGAAAACTTGTTCTCCCTTCCATTCGTAAGTTCTCTAGGCTGGAAAATGCTATGCCGGAAGATGCTCATGTGATTAATGATAATATCTTACATGACTTTCGCCTCTCCAATCATGTAAGTGGAGGACTTGTGGCGGCCTTATGTAAAAACCAAGTAATTCTTCCCCATCCGAACATGCTGCTGTGTCCTAGGTCCTCTCTTTCGGGGCAAAAGAATGATGTTTCATCGGAAGTCTCGCCGGGAATGGCTGCTGTTTTGGTCCCGTCGTCTAAAGCGCCTCCTCTTTGCTCGTCTTCTTCTTGTTTCAGTCGGCCCCTTGCCATATCTGAAAGCTTGGTGGCTTTCTCCCAGGGCGATAATGGTGTTGTTTTGACGGAAGAGAGGCTTACCAAGCTGCCGGAGTTAGACGGAGATAGGATGGCCGGAGTTCCTGCTGCTCCAACGGTAACATGTGATACGGTGGCCGGAAATGATGTTGATCCAACGGTCTTGTCTGCTAAAAGTCTACAAAAATCTCAGCCAACGTTTAAATTTGGAGCCGTTATGTGTACCGTGAATAGGGACGACCGTTGTAATTTTTTCAAAAAAAATATGCTTTTCGATGAAGGTGGTGAGGTGGGTAGTACGCTAGAGGATGAGGTGGGGCCTTCACTTGTGGAGAAAAGTCTTCTTGGCAGCATGGGGAAGCTAAGTCATTATGGTGAGGAGTCTACTTGGCCGCAACCTAGTATGGGGGGAATAGTGCCACAATTAAATATTATTAATGCATTAATGGCTGGTACTATAGATGGTACTATGGATGGTACTATGGAGGCTTCTGCTAGTTTGCATGGGATTGGCTCTCAAGAAAAAGATTACTTCCCATTGGATAATAATCAGAGTGTGGACCCATCTAGTTTGGCTAACAAGTGTTTAGATGAGTCATCTTTTTTGAAAATTGCTAACCCGAGTGCTCTGGTGTCCATTACTTCGAGCCACGTGGCTCCTATGCCTGTGAAGAATCCATGTGATCATGCCTCCATTTCTTGTGAAAATGCTAATTTTATTTTGGAAAAGTCTCATGATCGAAGCCCAAATTTGGGCAGCTTCAATTCTGGTGGAGTGTGGTGTCTACCGGGCCAAGCCATGGATGTGGAATGCAGCCCAATTGATTTTAATTTGGAACAGACTACCAAGCCCATTTCGTCTAAGCATCAGGCCTCTCTCCTAGGCCCTGCTCCTTCCGGCCCAGTTTTACAACCTGATGCTTCTATTCTCGGCCCAAGTCCTTCAGGCCCAGGTAAGTTTTCTATTTCTCATATTCCAGCCTCTATTGTTTCTAATACTTGTCATTCCACACCCCCCTACGTTTCTGCTTCCTTTATAAATGGTGCTGCTCCTTCCGGCCCCTCCCCCCCCGCCCCCTTTGCTACTTCCCATCCTATTTCCCCTTCTCTTATTCAAAATGATGTTTTGCATGCTACTTTGCCTAAGATTGCTTGGAATGGCAAAAATTCTAAAATTCTCCCTAACTCTTTCGCTCATGTTCTTAGTGGCTCTAATAAACATGCTAATGATAATTTTCATTTTATTCCCAATTTAAGTGAAAATGTGAACACCCCTATTGATATTCCTATCTCGGTGGTTAAAAAAAGTTGTGAAACTTATGCTAAAACCTTATGTGGCTATTTTGTTGGTAAGCGTCTTCCTTTCCCGGTTGTTCGTTTTTATGCTTCGAAATTGTGGTCTCAATATGGCATTGAGGATGTGCTCCTAAACGGTCATGGAATTTTTCT